ATTTGTTTGATTTTTGTGTACAATAAAAAAACGTTGTATAGCGTTAGTCATATATACTATACCTATTGTATAGAAACCAGCGCTGCTCGGCTCCACCACGGTAATATTATCTATAATATTACCGTGGCTCCACGGCGTCGACAGCGTGTATATCTAGGTACCTACTTATATATTATAGTATTAAAATTAGTCCATTTTGAGTTTATCAAATATTGAGTAGGTACTAACAGGAGACTGTAAATATTTATGTGATGACGACTAAGAATTTATTCTTAATTTGTTTGAGGATTTTACGTTACCATTTTCTATGTGACTCGTTTGTGGAATTTAGATGATATCTATGCACTTTACCGTTAAGTAATAATTGGTTCATTACTCTACGTTAAAAGCTTATGCGTAGTCGTGGGAATCCGCTTTAGAATGTCAATATATAACCGGGTTAGTATATATAATGCAATGTTGTCGACAAGTGTGGTTTTTGCAACGTTTTTGTATTTCGAAACTAGGTACATAATTTGGGATTCAAATGTTTAGATAGGTAAAACTTCTTAACTATGATTTAAAAAAAAATTAGGGTGGTGTTTTTATAAAGGAAGGTTAAGGTAATGTCAAGTTTCGTAAGGTTTTGACGTGAAATCCCTTTATTCTGCAGGCGAATTGTGTTCAAAAAGTTTACTGCCTTAAATTTGTTAAGATTTACTTCGCTTACATCCGCTCAATGAAATAAAATGATATATCTTACCTAGATTGAAGAGCACCTCCCGCCCTCTCCCAATTGCGTGCACTATCGCCGTCACTAGTAATTCCAACACAACTACCTACACTAGGAAAGACCCACCACCGACGATAATACGACACGTGTTCCGCCTCTACACGAGGCATCCTCAGGTAATGTAGACTCTGCACCTCTGCAGTGACTGACCGCTAAGCACTTAGCGATGTAGAAGGAACAGGGTAGGCGATAGCACGTAGCCTTGTGATTGTGATACACAAGCATTCACAGGCTCGGAAAAATTATAACATAGTTTATTTGCAAAAATAAATTAATAAGTATTTGCAAAATACGTAGTTATAATTTATAGCATATAGCCACCAGAGGGCCGCCGATGTGGTGCTAACTTAGGGCGCTGTCGACATTTGATCCGCCTCTAGCCTGCCAAGCAAATTTTCCTTGCAATGGATGAGCCTCTCCGCCACCAATGGACTTTTAGCTCCAGCAGTGGGCGGGCGATGATGATGAAATTTCAGGTTAATAGAAATAACCTCCTTGGCGGAAATTCATCATTGTTATGAGAGTCTGATTTTCTCATCTTTTAACTAAAGGTGTTTAGTCAGATAGTTTATATTATAAGTTAATGTAGTCATTACGCTATTTTCCAATAGCAGTTTATACATTGTTTCTTGATATTTACGTGCAATTACATTCGACCCTGAAATAACATAGCGTTCACTTTTATATACCTCATAAGATCATAATAATAGTTCGTAATTTGAAAAAAGGAAATAAAATAATGTCTTCTATAGGAAATTCCTTTGCTGATCTTTAGTCTTTACCTAGTAGCACTAGTCGAGTTATTCATTTTTTGTTGAAGAGCTATTTATATTATTAATTTTAAGCGAACGTCGTCTATAGTCGGACACTTTGTAATAGCAGTTATTATAAAAACAAGTAAATTAAGAATTGAGCCTTTGTTTTAGCGAGCATATTGATGTCGACTTAAAACTATAATATTCAGACATTGGATGAGGTTATCAATTTGGTGTCATATATTTTTTACGTGGTATAGCCACGCTGCAGCTATATTTTGGTTGTAGCAAGAATGTGTTGACTCCACCGGGGTAGGACCACACTCTCCTACTGCGTTTTGAATATACTGCTACTTATTTTTGAATGATGAGTATATAGAACCGGAGACCATTTCTACTGGTAACGAGTCGTTCCATATTATTCATTAAGGGTAACAACGCATCTGCATTTTGATTCGTAATCGTTTGTCACCCATATTCTATGTTTATTTTTTTTTTATAAAATTCTTATGCCTTAAATCAGTTATGCCAAGTTGTTAAAAATTTTTAGTGTCAGTTTTCATCTCGTTTCTTGTCACGCATTAGTAGTTCAAGTGCAACACGCTCGCCTTAATTATTTCAATACTGAGTTAAATCCCTGTAATTGCAGTTTTAATATCATGCTTTGGGGTTATTACGAAAATGGGGGAATCCCGAAATTTACAAATTACGAATTAACTAAGCAATATTTTCTGTAGTGGTAACATTATTCTAGACGCCATCTTACTTGTCTCCCTCGCTTCAGGGGTAAATGTATTCTGTGCTTCAGTCGTGTCGTGTGGCTAGTGTCAATAGCGCGTGTGCAAAATTAAATTTTCGGTGAAAACAGCTTTTTCCAACTCTTTTCGGTTTTTCAGAATTACCCCGCGTTCATTATCTTGGGAACTTTGTAATTAATCTTAATGATTGTTTGATTTTGTGATATAAAATCGTTTTTTAAGCTTTATTTTATAGATTAGGATTAGCCAGCTATTGTTTTTGAATTTTTTTCGGAAATACCCCACAGGGTTAATTACGAATTAATGGACTATCGAACTACTCTTCCATAGTAATTTTCAGTGGCTGTCAATCTTTCCTCAGCATAAATTGTTATCTTGGATAAGTTTTACACCTTCGAAAATTTAACCAACGGGTGTGGACAAGACGTACCTACTGCCACGGTAATATTATCTATACAGTATTGTAACTCGGCCGTATCACGGTAATTTTATCTATACAGTATTCCAACTTCATACAAACGGACGAAGCGAGAGCTATGCCTACGCGCCTCGATCTCGGCATGCGCTCGGCATGCAGACAGTCGAGACTGTGCCGCAGTGATGATTTTGTGAAATATATAAAAAATGGAGGAAATAAATAATAGAATAGAAATAAAGAAATAATAAATCTGAACTTCATTTAAAAACAAACATATAAATTGTAAAGTAGCTGCAGGTATCTATAACCAATTAAAAGATATTCCTTTTCTCCACGTTGTCCATGTTTCCCAAAACAATTTTTAATTTATATTATTTTTAGCTTTATATTAGAAAGCGGATTTTTTATATTTAAAAATCTAATAATAAAGCATTTCGTAAGTCTCAGCCGAGGTGCAAATATTTTTCGGTCGCAAATTTATTTAACCGATTTGTTGTTCAAACATAAACATGGTTTTTTAAATTAAATCTACCAATCAAAAAACGACACGCATTTTTATTAAACACTTTCTATTCAATTCACAAAGTACCTATTTTATTTGTTTATATAAAAAAGTATATTTACAATCATAAAACTAAATGGAAACACAAAGTAGGCAAATGTAAAAATGCTGGAGGCAGGTAACCCTATCACATGTTTACGTGCCGCACGGCTGTAGGCATTTATTTGAAAGATACGGCCGAGTTACAATACTGTATAGATAATATTACCGTGGCCGTATCTTTCAAATAAATGCCTACAGCAGTGCGGCACGTAAACATGCGTTAGGGCTGCCTGCCTCCAGCATCTTTACATTTGCCTACTTTGTGTTTCTATTTAGTTTTATGATTGTAAATATACTTTTTTATATAAACAAATAAAATAGGTACTTTGTGAATTGAATAGGAAGTGTTATGTCGATAAAAATGCGTGTCGTTTTTTGATTGGTAGATTTAATTAAAATAAAAGCGGCCACGAGCGTGTCCGGCCACGCTCAGTGTAGGGTTCCGTAGTTTCCCGTCCGTCACAATAAATGTTCCCACTTATGAGTTTAAAGGTATCCATTATGTTCGCGCTCCAGCAGCGCTCCGCGCTCCTGCAACTGCTCCCGGTAGTGGGTACTGCTGTTTCCATCCAAGTTCAAAATGATTTTCCTAGAAAGTCCTTATAAAGTTCTACTTTTCGGATTTTTTTCATATTTTCTAAACTTATGGTTCAAAAGTTAGAGGGGGGGGGGGGCACATTGTTTTTTACTTTTGGAGTGATTATTTCCGAAATTATTGACATTATCAAAAATGATTTTAGTAAACCCCTATTCATTTTTAAATACCTTTCCAACAATATGTCACACGCTAGGGTTGAAATTAAAAAAAAAATCACTTCCCACTTTACATATAGGGGGGCTACCCTAATAAAACATTTTTTCCAATTTTTATTTTACCACTTTGTCGGTGTGATTGATACACATATTGGTACCAAATTTCAGCTTTCTAGTGCTAACGGTCACAGAGATTAAGCGAGGACGGACAGACGGACAGACAGACATGGCGAAACTATAAGGGTTCCTAGTTAACTACGGAACCCTAAAAAAACCATGTTTATGTTTAAATAACAAATCGGTTAAATAAATTTGCGACTGAAAAATATTTGCGCCTCGGCTGAGACTTACGAAATGCTTTATTATTAGATTTTTAAATATAAAAAATCCGCTTTCTAATATAAAGCTAAAAATAATATAAATTAAAAATTGTTTTGGGAAACATGGACAACGTGGAGAAAAGGAATATCTATTAATTGGTTATAGATACCTGCAGCTACTTTACAATTTATATGTTTGTTTTTAAATGAAGTTCAGATTTATTATTTCTTTATTTCTATTCTATTATTTATTTCCTCCATTTTTTTATATATTTCACAAAATCGTCACTGCGGCACAGTCTCGACTGTCTGCATGCCGAGCGCATGCCGAGATCGAGGCGCGTAGGTATAGCTCTCGCTTCGTCCGTTTGTATGAAGTTGGAATACTGTATAGATAATATTACCGTGCTACTGCTATGCCAAATATATAAACCGACTTTTATTCTATTTTTGTTCTTATCATATAAAATTACAAGATAACAATGTATTGTAGTTAAACTATAATCGTTTTGGTGGTACGGAACGTTTAGTTCGCGAGTCTCACTTTTGGTAACTTTTTTCATAATAAAATTGACTTATAATTATAATTATATAATTTCTATAAATTGTTACAGGAAAAGATGCCTCGTAAATACATTAAAAAAAAAGTTGCGCATTATGCTCGGGATGATATGGATAAAGCGATTCAAGCAGTGATATCCAATGAGATGAGTATGTACGCTGCCGCCAAAATGTTTAACATCCCAACAACGACGCTATTTGATAGGATGAAACGTAAATATAGCAGAGAAAAGGTGGGCAGACCACAAGCTATACCATTTTTAGCCAAACAACGACTAGCAAATGCTATCGCAACTATGGAAAAGTGGGGATTTGGTCTAACGAGGCAAGAGATATTAGACATAGTTGCTGAGTACATTAAAAAAGATAACTTAAAAACCTTTTTTACCAATAACAAACCCGGACCAGACTGGTTTATAAATTAAAAAAAAAAAGACATGGGCTTTCGATTAAAAAACCGCAACCAGTGGAATATATAAGGAGGAAAATGACAGATCCATTTGTTGTTTCTGAATTCTTCGCACTGCTTGAAGAGACGCTGGCTAATTTGAATATGTTAGAAAAACCTGAATTTATTTGGAATTTGGACGAGACTTCTCTATCCCTAGATCCGACAAAAACCAAAGTTGTCGGAAAAATTATTAAACCTTGTTCGAGAACAACATATGGGACGGGAAAAGAAAATATTACGGTCTTAGCGACCGTAAATGCTGCTGGTAAAAAAATCACCTTTAATAATTTTTAAAGGGAAACAAATGTGGGACCAATGGATGGCCAAATCGAATGACTTTGATTTTGAGTTATCTTATGCAGTCAGTTCTAGAGGCTGAATAGAGTCACCTATATTTTATAATTATATAGATAAAATCTTGATTCCATCCCTTGGCACAGAACGGCCAGTTCTATTAATTTACGACGGCCATTCTACTCATGTCGATACTGATGTACTGGAGCTGGCTGTAAAAGATGATATAACTATCTTGAAACTCCCGCTTCATACATCGCATTTGCTACAGCCACTTGATGTTGCTGTATTTAAATCATTCAAATCAAAATGGGACAAAAAGTTAGTTGAGTGGCAACGCCATAATGTTGGAAAAAAATGCCAAAAAATGTATTTTCGCAAACTTTTGCTGACTCATGGCAACAGACAGATACTGAAGTTATTCAAAATGGGTTCAAAAAGTCTGGAATTTATCCATTTAACCCAAATGTAGTTCCGCAGGATAAGTATTATCCAGCGTTGAAAAAAAATATTGAATATAAAAAAGTCCACAAACCCAGCTAAACTATACAGTACAATAGTCACTAAGGTAAATGTGCATTGATATTTTGAATAAGAAATTAACTATCAGCTACTCTACTTCTGAAAATAAGTGTACTCCAATTACTGCTGAGACCAGTCTTAAATCAACTAATGTAAAATTATAGAGCCAGGTTTCAAAGAAAAATTACGAGTTTTTACCATTTGTGGCAAACCAAAAATCAGAATTACCACAATGCTTGAGAACTCAGAAAGATGAGTATCATAATAAAATCAGTTTTGAAGATCTCGTCTTAGAAAGGATCCGGCAAGATAAAAATGATAATACAACAAAAAAGAAACGAGTGGCTAAACGAGCAGAAGTAATCACTCAGACTCTTTTAAAACAAAATAAAGAAAGGAAAAAGATGCGAAAAAATCTCAAAAGCCAAAAACGAATATTTGAAAAAGAAAACTCAAAACTAAGAAGGAATCTGGCATAAAATTTAAAATGCGTTCAAGCACTTACTCTATGAGTGATTTAATAAACCCCCGGAGTGATGTTGATATAATAGAAAACAGTGAAAATAATTTAGATTTTGATTTAGTGAACTGGGTTGAGGCTAATTTTCATACGGAAGAAATGAATAAAGAAAATTGGCAGTATGAAATAGAAAAATACCAAAAAGAAGAAGACAATACGAGAAAAGAAGAAGAACAGAAGAAGAATACGAGAAATATAAATATAACAAGGAGAATACGAGACAAGAATACGAGAATACGAAAAATACGAGAAAATAAGAAGAACAGAAGAAGATAAGAAGAAGACATTACAAGAAATTTTAGATGAAAAAACCGGATATATACGGACAGTTACCACTGCCGTGGTAGAGAATCATTTAGGCAATCAAATTGATACCTATACTAACTCATAAAGAAAAAAGAACAAAAAAACAAACAAAAAACAAACCCAAGAAAACTAATAAGTATGAAAATAGCTCAACAACTTCAGTCGAAGATATTATGAGTCTCCATAGTGACAGTGACATAAATATTGCGGAAGATATAATATCGATTCCTAATGATAATGAAGACGAAGACACAACAAGTAAACGATTAGACGATATAGAAGCCACTTTTTTTGCTGACATAATGCGTTTAGATGAAATTGATAAGACCGATTTACAATTACAGACTGAGACTAGACCTAAAAGACTAGATAATAAAATTATAGTTAGAGATGCAGGTAGCAAATGTGAAAAAAGGGTATCCTATACCTTTAAACGAGCAATTCTTGTATATATATATAATCGGAATCTCGGAAACGGCTCCAACTATTTTCATAAAATTTTGTGTGCAGGGAGTTTCGGGGGCAATAAATCGATCTAGCTAGGATTTGTTTTTAGAAAATGTCTTTTTGTCCGTATTTTTAGGCAATGAAAAACTGCTACAATATATCCTATATCCTATTCCTATACCTTTAAACGAGCAATTCTTGTATATATATATATAATCGTATTCTCGGAAACGGCTCCAACGATTTTCATGAAATTTAGTGTCCAGGGGGTTTCGGGGGCAATAAATCGATCTAGCTAGGATTTATTTTTAGAAAATGTCTTTTTGTCCGTGTTTTTAGACAATGAAAAACTGCTACAATATCGTTAGAATAAGAAGGTAAATTTTGACAGTTTATTAATGATTACAAATAGCTTAATTGGTATATTGGGCGGTCACAAAATCGACTTTTTTTAATTTTTTTTTCAAGTTCCTTTCTTTTTTGAGAAAATCTATTTTTTCGAGCCCTTTTTTTATTCAAATAACCAGTTCAGTTTTTTCTATTATGTCCCTAAGATCAAAAAATATTATTCGTATTTCATCAGTATGTAATTTGTATCTAAATATAATTTCCAAAACACACGAATTAAAAAAAAACCGAGCGAAAAATACCGAGCAAAGCTCGGTCAACCGGGTACTTGAGGATAAAACAAAATTATTCTCCTAATATAGGAATTAAGGCTGAAGTTAATATTAATCAGGATATAAATAAAAAATGAAAATAAAGGTAAATCAATAATATTGAAAAATCAAGTAAAAGAAGCTATAGCATACGATCACAGAGATACTATACTGGCCAGATATTATGAAAATAGAAAATGGAAATATTACGTCGGTTTCATAACTAAAATAAATAATCATCAGCTGGAAAAAATACGAAGTATCTTTCTATAAAACCATACGAAGAAATAATTACCTTACATTTTTAAAACCAAGGAGAGCTGATATAGATTGTACACCTGTCGATTTAATCGTAAAGGAAATTGAATTGATTCAAATTAAGGAAAATCTAGGTGAATTCGTACCGAATGATGATAAACATGAAGTTTTTGTGCTTTAAAAAAATGTGCACCTCATTGTGTTCACAGACAAAATAGTGATTCCTAATTATAACAACTGCAATAGGTACTTTGCTGTTAATAATATAAGATAAGATATACTTCAAAAGTAATATGTACTTCGTTCTGTTTTGTATGGAGAGAAACAACTTGTCTCAAATATTTTTACTAACTAAAGGTAGAAAATGCTAGATGTTTGATTGTTTGTTTTACTTAATGTGTAAGTATTTTAGATTTTTATGTTTATTAAACTTCAATTTTCGTTAATTGTACTCAAGTGGATATCTTTAGTGTTTTTTTAATTGGAAATTTCCCACCTATTTTATTATTCAAATGTTACTAGTTGTGTGCCCTACAATTGTATATCAAGAGCAAAAAATTACACTTTTTTATAAATAATACTTAATTTTACTTTCCACATCCTACCTACAATTATGTCTAAATAATAGCCTGTCACAATCGTCAGCAGCATATCCGCAGCGGGACATTTTTGTGACTCGTATGTAATTTACGTGAATACGTATTGTTTCTGACTAACATAATAAAAATTAATTATACTGTCTACAATCTTAGCTTAAGGATTGGTCTCCGATCCACCAATTGGTCACTAATACTTAGAACCTATATGTTGAATAAGCTATATTCATTACTAGAGGATCCCTTACCTTATGTATTACATCCTTTGCTTATACACCTATCATGTAGAGTTAAATTTTGATTTATCTTAAGTTATTACACTGATCGCGATAGATGTGCTGTTACCCGCTGAGGAGTTCCATCTTCAAACTATATAACCTTTGTAAAGAAAATAATATTTTTTATAGGCTAGGGTGACAAACGAGCACACAGTCCACCTGATCGTAAGTGTTTGCTGTGGCCCATAGACATCTACATCTATCCTCGATTACACATCAAAATGCAGATGCGTTGTCACCCTTGAGGATTCCCCTTCCATTCCCTTGAGGACCCCGGTTCTCTACACTCACCATATGACATACAGCAGCATTAAGCTACCATTTCACGCTGGTATTCTGTGAGAGCGTGGTCCTTCCCCGGTCTAGCCGACTCATTCGTGCTACAACTATAATTCTAATATAATTACAGCATAGCTCTACCACGTAAAATTTGTTGAAATCGGTTCTGATATGATGGAGTAACATCGAAAAACTTTTATCCCTTTGCCCGAAGTGTAGATTCATGTAACCACAGAATATTGCAGCAACGGCTTAATACCTGTTATAAAAGTTTAAGGTAAACCTCTTTAACTAGCCTAATAAATGTCCAACCACGGAAATGCAAGGTGTGCTGCCATGGTGGTGTTTTAAATGTTTGGAACCGCTGGACTTTATGTGGGGTAATTCCGAAAATTCAAGGGAGCAAAATATGAAGGTAGCCACCAGTACTAGAAACATAAAGTATGTATCAATTCTTTTTGTAGAGGGTTATAGACGAACGAAAAGTAAATCCAAACCTTCTGTCATAAGTCAAAAAGGACCACTTTACCGAATTTTCGGTATTACCCGGCGTTATATCGGAATTATACCTCCTCAAGAAAAACATGTCAAATTTTAAATGATCATATTTACGCAACGCAAAGGCATTATAGTAAGATGAATAACAAAGTAATTAGAATATGTATTTCAATAAATAAAAGTGACATGAGTTGGTTGTATGCTTGGATAGATTTTTTTAAATAATTATTAAATATGCGTCGTACCAACTAATCAGAAAATATGTCGGATTTACCCCAAAGCACTTAGTTGGTTTACTATATGTGCTCGTCGGTGAAGGAAAAAAAAAGAAAAAACCGTATGAACACCTGCGAAAAGCCTGCCTATGAAAAGTTAAACAATATTTCGTTTACATATAAAATTCGCCAAAACACATTGGGTCAACGCAGCACCCGTCCTAGAAATAAGAGGAGATCTGTGCCTATCGGAGTGACGTATGTTTTATTACTCTAAACTACAACTCATAAATGTAAATTACATCAACATTCTTTGCCCATAAGCACCTTTTTTGGCACTGATTGTTTAATACTTGATAACATAGCTTTATTAAAATAGATGCTCTTATCTATTTAAATAAATAAGTACTACTTAGTAAAGACTACGTTATAATATATTAATGGAACCCATTAGAAATAAATACATTAATATGATATTTATTATCAAAACAAATGTAGTAAAACAAAACAAATCAACATCAACGCCGCCCATCGACATAAAGCAGCCTCACTGAAGCATTACCTTTGCTTGCATTAAAAGATACCGCGACGGACAGAATAACGACAACAGTAATTAAAACTCGTGGAATGACGTAAGCTAGTTGTGTGCGCAGTTCTATTTACTACTTAACAGGTGGGGGAGTTTAACGCTTCTTAGTTAACAAGAAAATCCTTGCCACACAAGCTTAGTTGAGGACTGACTTGACTTGCTCGCAACAAGTTAAGTCAGTCCTCAACTACCTATATATCGAAATCCTTCAAAAAATCCTTCAAAAAAAAAAAAAGAAAATGTAATACAGCTTGCTAAATATACAACAAACATAAAAATTTAATCAATTACGATAGACGACCACTAGTATAAAATAACTTGACATTCGGAATTCGGTACTAAGTATGGTAATGGGAACTGCCCATTCTCTATTGCGAAAAGTTTTTTTTTTATAAAATAGTAGTGATAAATGAAATTAAAGGCCACTTGAAGGTAGTTAGTTGAGTTTTATACACGATAAAGCTACGCTGCAGCTATGTTATGGTTGTAGTACGAATGGGTCGGCTCAACTAGGGTAGAACTACGATCTCACAGAATACCAGCATAAAATAATAGCTACTGCTGTGTTTCGTACGGTAAGTGTAGAAAACCTTGATCTTCACGGGTAACAATACATCTGCATTTTTTATTTTATTTTTTTATTTTACAACTAACTAGACATACACATTGTATTCGTGTACTGTAAATACTAGAATTAACAGGAAAGTTTATATCTAATTGTCGTCTTAATTAAAGGTTTCCATGGCATGCAATGTGGACTACAAATATGTTTCTTATAATGTTTGTAGCAATTTTAGTTATTATTAATATATATTTTTAAACTAGACCCAAATGTTATCTAACGGCATAGGACTGCAAAGTTTTTCGTCTGAATTTTTGAGGCATGTCAGCAAAGATTTATGGTGGCTTGATGACCCAAATAAGTTTAAAACATATAGCAATGGGTGCGTTTGGCAGAAAAAAGCGCTAGCAAGCGCTTACAAGCGCTAAAATAGTTTTCGGCCAGGACACGATTGCTACTTCAGTAGCGCTGACACAATCCGCCATTTTGCTTATTTAATTTGTTTGTTTTGAAGTAGAGTTTATAAGTTCTTTTGTGCAATATTAGTTTTAAGTAATATAATGACATGAATAAACATATACATGTTATT